CAGAATGACTACTAGACTGACTTATTATTTAGTATGTTTGGCAGATTTTCTTAATTTACGTTGACCCAATTGTAAAAAAACTTGCGGCGTTCGGTGAGATTTGAACCCGCATAGTAGAGAAGGCCTTTACGCGAAGCCAATGCTCTTCCAGTTGAGCCACAAAAGCCACGCCTGCGCCGTGAATTTAACCAGACTTGGATCGATTGCTTAGGAAATCCTGCTTAGACATTCATCTTACTGTTCCGTAATGGTTGATTCCTTACGAGCGGTAAAGTTGGACAGGTAAAATCAATCCAAGTGTGCTTAAATTCACGGCGCAGGCGTGGCGTTTGCAGCTTAACTGGGGGAGCATTGGCTTCGCGTAAAGGCGCTCTCTACTATACGGGTTCAAATCCCACCGAACGCCTCAAGTTATTTCACAATTGGGTCAACTTAAAATAACTTATTTCGCACTATTATTATTATTATTATCACTTAGTACTAGCAGGATTTTTATGGACCCTAACCGTGCTATATGAGGAGGTGTAGACGTGGAAGCTCGCGAAGCAAAACATTTTATCCCGCTCTCTCGCAAAATATTTTAACGTACGCCGCCGCGCCCGTCATAATTTTAAGCAGAATGGGTGTACGTGCTGTCGTTTCGAATGGTGACAACCGATGTGCTGATCGCTATCAGTTTCGCCAGTGCCTCGTTCGACTAACATCTCAACTCACGTCTATCTTCCCGACAAAGGACTGCCGGCTAAGGCTTTGCGAGATCGTATCGGCTGCGCTGTCCGCATGATTCACAACTGACTACATCGCACCATCATCATCATCTTCACTATTAAATCAAGGAACAGCGTCAGGCGGCTAATCGTAGTCTATTTTAAGCGACAAGGGCTCAAATTGTGAAGGCTCGCGTGCGCAAAATGAAGATCTGCTCGTTAACTGCTACTGCACATAGTGGATAGTGGGTGTCGGGCCTCAGAACTGAGGAGTCGGAAGCCTAATTACGGTAGACGGGCTTGGTAATACGTGCGGAGGGCGGAAGGGGGAGGGGTTGAAGTGAAGGGAATATGCGGATGCAGATCGAGTCTCATGCGTGCGCAAGTGTAGGCGCGCGCGGTCGGCGCAGCAGCAGCAGCAGCATATCCTGATGCTATCATCTCACTGCTTCCGTACGAAAACAGGGCTGACTACCACAGGGTTGTATCTCTCGGCTACGGCATATGCAGCTGCGCTCCACCCAGGCGAGACACATGGACGACATGCGACGGCGTGCGACCGCAGTCTTGCGAATATTTATCTCTTCCCGCATCTGGCGTGCCC